CCCAACTCTCCCTGGAAAGGCAGGAAGCTGGGACACCAAATTTCAGCTTCAGACTGCCAGAGGGGTGGGTGTGAGCAAGTGCAGGGGTGGGGATGCTGGAGGAGGGGTGAGGTGGGGTGGCTGAGTCTGTCAGCAGTGGGTAGGGCTTGCATCCACTGAGGGGCCGCTTGGTTGGCACAAGGCCAGGGGAGGCTTTGGAAGCCATCGACACAGTGACAATTAGAGAGGAGAGCCCATCCAAGGAGGGCACGGAGCAGAGGATCTCCCTCCTTCTCAGATTTATTTATTTTTATTTTATGTGTATGGGTAGTCTGCCTGAATGTATATGTGTCTGTGCACCATGTGGTGCCCAGGGAGGCCAGAAAAGGGCTTAGGATCCCCGGAAATGGAGTTAGAGATGATCGTAAGTTGCCATGTGGGTGCTGAGAATTGAACCTGGGTCCTCTGAAAGAGCATTGCATCCTCTTATGTGCTGAGCCATCTCTCCAGATCACATCTCTTGGTGTGTGTGTGTGTGTGTGTGTGTGTGTGTGTGTGTGTGTGTGTGTGTGTGTAAAGACAGCTCTGAAAAGCCAAGCACACCTGCACTTGCAGCCTTTGGTAAGCTGACTTTGCACTTCATCTGACCGACAGAGTAAGGCCTGTCTTTAAAAAGCAGTCATTAGTCAGCCAGCAAATACTAGAAACACCCGATCAGTAATAATCTTGGAGGATACAGCCCTTCTCAGGACACAAGTGTCTAGCTTTGGAAAATAAACGTTATAAAATAAAAACAACTTTCGATGTTGTAAGTATGTTAATAAAAAGAACTACTTTCTGAAGACATAAATGAGGATGATGTCATAGAGAGCAACAGGACTGGCTGGACAGGGCCTTGGGGTGACAGTCATAGTGATTTGTAGTGACGTTTGAAAGGACCCAACTGAGACGAAATGGGGACAGTGTATCTGTGCAAAGGCCCTAGGTATTCAGAGCAGAGGGAGGAAGCCGCATGTCTGAAGCCACCAGGGAAATGAGTTGGGTGACAGTGTCAGAGGCTGCTGGGTCATATCACGGCGGGCACTGTGTGACACCGAGAGGGTGTCAGGTGAGTCCAGCTGCCACGTGGTGACATCGACGTTTTGAAGCAGGGAATGGCCTGATTAGAGTAGTATTTTCAAAGTCACTGTGGCTTGTAGGTGAGTAGACTCCCAGGGAACAGGAGCAAAGCCTGTCGAAGATGCTCCCTGGTTGCCTGGCTGGGGATGGTGGGACAGACAGAAGCAAGGACAAGCATTGCCGGGACATGGCTGGTCAGGATCACATGGTAACCACTGCACCGTCAGTGACATGTCAGGGGATGACGGTCGAGTTCCCAGGTTGCTGCGCCACAGCGGTGATGTAATGTGTTGTATTAAATAGACTAGAAACTTGATAATTACCTAGCATCCGTTCACAGGTGATGTGTTCTATCCGGTGTGTAGTTAGCAGATAGTCCATGCGTGTTGTAGGATTCTACCAGTTAATTAGCTGTTTTGATTGGGCCGTGGAAACATACTTCTAATGGGGTAGGCTTATTCACAAATCATCTCATTACTTTAATCGGGATTTTGGTGTGTGTGTGTGTGTGTGTGTGTGTGTGTGTGTGTGTGCGCGCGCGCGTGTGCATGCATCCCGAGCACGTGTAAGCGTTGGAGGATCTGTTTCTCTGGTCCTCATCAAGTCCCTCTGGAGAGCTGGTTTGAGGGGAGAATGTGAGGCGGCTCCTGGTATGCTGGCTACCATGGGCAGGCACAGAGTCATGGTGACCTCAGGTAAAGGGGACTGCCACATGGCCAGGCTCGTCGCCTGACCCTCCCTGTGCAGGGGATGCTACCCAGGTCTTCCTGCACACTGCCCAGGTGTCCTGGGAAAGAGTGGAATACAGGGAAATGGTGGGTCAGAGTGCGCTGGGGCTCTGCTCAGCTTGTACCCATGGGTGACGGGGCAGGGCCAGGGAGCCGGGGTGCTCTACACCCAGAGAAAGGCTGCCTAGAAGGGAAGTCTAAATGAGTTACTTTTCTGCTGCTGTGATAAAACCATGGCTAACAACATCTTACAGAAGAGTTTATTTTGGCTTACTGTTCTTGAAGGATAGAGTTCATGACGGTGGGGAGGACTCGGCCACAGCGGCGGAGAAGAAAGCTGGTCGATCCCACTCCATCCATACCCGGGAGGCAGAGAGAACTCAGGCAGGAAGTGGGGTGAGGCTGTAGGGCCTCAAAGCCCACACCCAGCGTATAATTCCTCCAGGAAGACTGTACCTCCCAAAGGTTCCATAACCTCCCCAACAGCGCCACCCCCTGGGAACCAAGCATTCCAAACGTGGGTGTGTGGGGGACGTGTCCCATTCAAACCACCACAGCCCTACCCCAAGCCCTGTTGGCTTCAGGGAGCTTTTGGGGTGCACTGTTCAGGCCTGGACTGAGCGTGGGAGAGGAGCGTTCTCTCATGGCAGCAGGGATAACCAGTGTTACAAAGCCAGACAGCTGTTCCTTCTTCCCCGACTGTGGGCCACTCACCGCGCCTACACACTCCATCTGCCCCTGCGCCTGCTGTGAGTGGTGACTCGGTGAACACAAGCAGACTTTGTGAGCTCCTTCTGTCACAGAAGTGACCCCGCCAGCCCTGAGTTCAAGGAGGATTTTGTAAACACAGGAGCCTGGGATGGTGGTGCATACCTGTAATCCCAGCACTGGGGCAGCCGAGGTCAGCCTGTGCTACCCAGTGAGAACATGTCTCCAAAACAGTTAGAGTGGTCAAGTTTGTATTATACCTGTTTTACCAAACTAAAAAGAGGGGGCTGGCAAGATGTCTCAGTGGGTAAGAGCACTTGCTGCCAGACCTGATGATGTTAGTTCAAATCTCCATGACCACATAGTAGAAGGAGAGAAGTGACTCCTGCAAGCTGTCCTCTGACCTACACACACACACACACACACACACACTCACACACGCACGCACGCACGCACGCACGCACACGCACACGCACGCATACTCACACACACACACACACACACACACACACACACATGCACGCACGCACGCACACAATGTGTATTATAAATGTAAAAGGTAAGGTGATACTTGGTAGTATTCCTGCGCTTCCGTGTGGTGCTGGACCCAGGATCCCTGGCAGCAAACCATCACCACATGGCTACAAGAGGCCGACAGCTGAGAAACTCTAGGTCGCTTTTGAAAGAACTCAAGGATGGGAAGGCAGAGTTCCCTCAGCAGGAACATTTTCTCCACATGGCTTTATATAATGTTATACTTGAATTCTGTTGTCGTTACTTAGCATTATTTTGTGAACATTTCCTCAGAGCTTTAGAAACTACATGAAAGGCCGTGAAACTAAGAGTAATGGCACACACCTATAATCCCTGCGCTCGGAAAGCTGAGGCAGGAGGATTCCAAGTTCAAGTCTAGCTTGTGCTGCACAGTGAGACCATTTCTCAAAAACACCACCACCACCAAAACTGAATAAAACCATTGTGGTTGCTGTGTACTATTCCATGAGATTCATATGGCATAATCCACATTGGATTAGGTTTCTTCTAAATTTTTGGACTGTGAACATCTCAGGCAGCATCCTGGGGCATAATTTCTATTGATGTAATTGTTTCTCTGGGAGAGGTTTGTAGAAGTGGACTCGTGTGAACGCTGAGCCCTGTGGCGGTCATTTTGGTATCCCATTGACAGGATAGGATCACGCAGGGGACAAGCACCTTGGGTGCCTGTGAGGAGTTATCTAGGTTGAGACGAGAAGACTCACCACTGTGGGTGGCACCATCCCATGGGCTGGGGGCCTGGGCTGCACGGAAGGAGAGAGCCAGCCGAGCCCTGGTGCTCATCTCCCTCCTGACTACAGTACGTGAGCGGAAGCCCCACACTCCCCCCCCACTCCCCTTCCCTGCCATGATGAACTCTCCTCAGGCTGTAAGCCAAGCAAACCCTCCTTCCTCAGGCGGCTTTGGTCCAGGACTTTGTCTGATTGTGTCTCTTTAAATCACCGTTAGTTCCTAGTTAGGCTTTCCCCTTTGGCATCCTCATCTTGCTGAGTTAGCCTTCCCCTAGTCCAAAACCCACCTCCTATGTCCTGGCATCTACGTGATGGCCACTTCCATGCAGAGAGAGCGGGATCTTGGCTTAACAACTGCCCGTCAATGCGACTTGTAGACCCCTGAGCCCATAAGCTTCAGCTTGGAAAGTGAAGTTGACCTGAACAGAGGGAAGCAAGGTGTAGCCTTAGTCGGGACCAGGCTCCTGTAGTTGACTCAGAGGCACCTCCCCCCATGGGGGACATGTGTCTCCAGCAAGGATCACTTTTGCCTACTTCTATGACGGCAAAGGGACAGAGAGATTCCCCATGGTGTGGCAGAGAGTCAAGGGTTGATGAGTGGGTATTGCCGGCTTAGTCAGCAGGGTCCACAGGGAGCTGATGTTCTCGGGAATTCCGGGGTGAACCTGTGTCTCAGCAAGACTCTCAAAGAGAGCCACCCCCAAACTCTTCTTGCGTTGTGGCTTCTGGAGTCCACCCACCCTTAAATTCGCCTCCCAGGCACCCCATTGAGTTTGAGACTTTGGCTCCTCAGATTGCATTTTCATCAAGTAGGGACCCTCCTGTGAATACATTCAACAGACATCTGACCATTGTGATAACCCTGATGGGTGGCGAGCGCGGCAAATTAGCTGAAGAATGATTGATTTTCCTTTTTAATGCAGCTTTATCTTCAACCTTTCCCAGCAACGTGCTACGCCAGGGCAATCATTTCTTCTCCCAGGTATCTGCCGGGATAGCGATTGCACATCTATTTACGGCTGCCTGGAAGCCTCATAATTACAATATGGTCCAAGTGCCCATTTTCTTTCCCTGACTACAAATAGGGATCAATCGAATTTTAAACGACTGCTGCAGGGCTCGCTCCCGATCGTGACCTTTGTAAATGATTACGGCTCACCACTGTTGCTATCTGCCCAGA